GATGCGGCCCGATGCCTGCATGGAACAATTGTGCGCTTCGGCACGGTCGATCCGACTCAACTCCAGCTCCGTGCCGATGCAGGCTGGTCCAACTCACGTTCCGATCCGATGCGGATTCCCGAGTCGATGCTGGCCGATCGTGCGGTCTTCGAGGGGGCGCCCTGCGCGCCTTCACGCCTCGGTGAAGGGGGAGCGCGCAGGCCCAGGCCTGTCGGCCCCAGGTTTTTCTTCTTGGCTGCTTCTTCGGGCCATCCAGCGTCCACACACGGCCAGGCATGTGTCGGGCCGAGGCTCTCTGTGCGCAAACGATTGCGTTAGACGTGCAGGTACAGCTCGCGCTCCAGATTTGATGCTCCGTAGCCATTTTGGCTCAAGCCCCAGGCGCGGCTCCCGTGGCGAGCGGGCGGCGCGGGAGCGCGCCCGCCACCCGGGTGATGGCCGCGGCGGGCCCCCCGTGCGCAGGCGAGGAGGCCGCCGCCGCCGTGGCGGCCATCCTGCGGGCGGAGGACCACTACGCGGCCATCAATGCACCTCGCAGTGCTGATGCTGCGGAGCTCCGGCGTCGCTACCTGGCCGCCTCGGTGCGTGTCCACCCCGACAAGAACCCACACCCAGAGGCCACCAGAGCGTTCCAGCGCGTCACGGCGGCATGGTCGGTACTGAGCGACCCGGAGAGAAGGCGGCGGTACGACTCGGAGTTGGAGCTCGGATTCGACGGCGACGACCAGGACCTGACCCCCGACGAGGCGTTCGCCGTCTTCGCCATGGCCGCGGCGATGGCCACGTCGAGCAGCGACCTGGCCGAGACGCTGTTCTGGGCGCAGCAGGTCGGCTCCCTGCAGCGCGGCAGGCCGCAGACGGGCGTCGTCAACGCGCCGCCGGCCGCGGCCGAGCTGAGGGCGGCCGCGGGGGCCATGGTCGGTTCCGGCGCGCTATGGGCGGCCGGCCTGGCCGCCAGCTGCGTGGGGCTGCCGCGCATAGGTGGCCTCGTGCGGCGGGTGGCCGTGATCCAGGGCGTCAGCCAGCTGGTCCTCACGCTGCAGCACCCCGAGGTGCGCGAGGCCCTGCACTCGGGGGGGGTGGCCGCGGCGGGCAGGGCGCAGGAGCTGTCGTCGAAGCTGAACCACCTGGGGCTGGCCTTCTGCGACTCCGCGGGCCAGCTCGCGTGCTGCCAGCGCGCCGGCGGCCCCGCCCCGCGGCCGGGGCTGCGGCCGGGCTTCCTGCTCTCGGGCGCAGGCCACCGCCGTGCCAAGGCAGCCAGCGGCGCCCGCGGGCCCGCCTGCGGCGCCTGGGTCAAGCTGGACGGGCTGGCCGTGGCAAGACACCTCGACGGCCGGTTGGGAGAGGTTCTCGGCTACGACGCCGCCACACAGCGGTACAAGATCCGCCTTGCGCCGCCTGCCCGCGCTGGGGCCGACGACGAAGGCACCGTGAAGCTGCTCAAGGCCGAGAACCTCCTGCCTGCGGTGTCGCGCTCCATCCTGCCCCCGGCGGCGGCGCGCGACTTCTTGTGACGGCGTGGGCTGCGCGGGGCTCGCGCTCTCCAGAGCCGATGCTGTCTGGGAGCCCTGGAGGCAGTCTTCAAATTGACGTCCATGCTGCCTCAAGAGCGCGGCCTAGATTTAAGTTGGGCGTGTCCCTCTACAGGAGGAATGCTCCAAAATAGTCCATGCATAGTCTGGGGACGATGTTTTGACTATGATTGCGATTGTTTGGGGCATGTTTTGCGTTGTTTCTAGTTTATCGTCCAAAATCCGCCTGTAGGGGGACATGCCCGTCCTAAGCCTAGATGTGCCTCATTGTGCGATCGATTCGTTCCCCCTGACATGGACCGGATGCTGTGCACCGAAGACCTGCGCCGTGGGCGGATTGAGGGCTTGCACCAGAAGCCTTCAGGCTGACCTTGGCCGCAGGTTTGTCGAAGCGCGTGTTTGCGTTTCGGAAGTCCCTTGCAGCAGCGCATCGGATGGATGGGTTTTGCCCGTTCGGATTTTTGCCAATTTGATATTGGCGGCCGTGAGATGTGAGGGAGCCTTCTGGTGAATTCACGTCATCCTGGCCCCTGGCTCAGGCGATCGCAAACATGGATCAAGGGCGCGTGGATTAGCGACGGGTCACGTTTCCAATCGAAATCGCGAATTTCCGCCGCCGAGCGAGGCGACACCGGCCGCATTTTGGGAGGGCACCTCCCCCGATCCATGGATTTGGCGACCGTTCGCCAAATCCATGGATCGCTAATCCATGTTTGCGCGCCCCCGACTGACGCGCGAGGAAGCGGGGCCACCATTCGCCCCCGCCTCCCGAGGAAAGAACATGGGGAACGACTGGCCGCACCAGACGCGCCAGGAGAATCCCAAACCGGCGATTTCGCGCGGGAGGCTTTTGCAAAGTTGGTTCTCAGCCACGCGCAGAGTGGGGTGGGGGGAGGGGGGAGGGCTTCTTAGAAGCACCCCTGTTTCTTAGAAGGCGCGGTCCTTATCTATAGATCTAAGGCCGGAGCCTTCTACGAAGCAGCCCTCCTTCTAAGAAGCCTTCCCCCATCCCTCCACCCCCTTCCGAGGTTCGCGGACCCCTCCCAAGAAAGCTCTAGAGGGAGGGGTAGCGGAGGGGAAAGGCGGGGCGGGTCGCGCAGCCGATCGGAACACATCCTGCTGGAGGGATGAGGTAGAACGCTCGTTTGGTGATGTAGGGGTTGCCTCAAGGGCTTCACCATGTTGGCCAGCGCTGTCCACTTCAGGCCAGCTCAGTCTTGTTCAGTTCCGCTCAATCTAAGCCCAGCAAGGCCCAGCTCACCATAGCTCAATCCAGCAGCCCTGCTCTATCCAGCTCAGCTCATGTGAGCAAGTCTCAACTCAATGCTGCCGTTTGCCGCCCAGCTCCGCCACGCAGCGCAGCAGAGCAAGCCAATCACAGTGTACCTGTGCAGCCCAGCCCAGCTCAGCCAACGCCAGGTCAGCGAAGTTTGGCCCAGATTACAGCTCAGCCCAGATCCCAGCTCCAGTGCAATTCAGCCTGGCCCAGCCGAACTCGGCCTTCCTCAGCGCATCTCTGCCGGTACCTCCAGCAGCCTGCCAGCCCCCAGCTTCCTCCGAAGGCCACGCGTCGAGGGAGAGGCACTCTACACCCCGCTCGCCCGTCTACTTCCCCGCCTCCTTTCCTTGGACCCCTCGCACTGGACTTCAGGGAATTCCGCTTCCTAGCCTTCGCGTGTCAAACGGTGGCGCCCTGCGCCTGCAAGCCTGCAGCCCGAAGAAGCAGCAGCGCTGGGTGACAGGGGAAGGAGTTGTCAGGTCGGTCGCGGCTGAGGTGCACAGCTTCCGCACGCTCTGTACAGGATCATCCCCTCGGTCTCCGGAGCTCGTGCGCTGGATACCGGGGGCCCCAGCATGCTGGAGTCACCCGTGACGCCCCCGAGGCCCAAGCGTGCCGTTTGGAGACTGCACTTCGGCCCGCGTTCCCTCGACGACGGCAGAGCGTGCGGTCATCTGGCCAGCACGCCGTCGGCGACCCCTTCGGGGAGGCGAGGTCAGCGCCCCTGGTCGGGTCGTCGTCCAATGGCCTCGCTTCGAGGAAGCGCAAGCATGGATCAAAGGCGCGCGGATTCGCGACGGGTCCCATTTCCGTGTCCCGCATCAGCGCGTTCCCGTCGCCAAATGATCGGGAGCGGAAAAGAGGGGGGTGATGACTAGGGGGGGGGGGATTTCATGGCGCGGGCCATGATTTTTCCCCAGATTTCATGGCGCCTCTTCTTGTTTTATTACGTCCCAGGCCCCCCCGCTGGGCCGCGCACATGCCTCCGGTCATGATTTGCACCCCCCCCTCTTGGACACCCCTCTCTTGGCCACTCCCGAAATGAGGCGGCATTGGTTTCATGTGTCGGGAGGCACCTTCCCAGATCCGTGGACCTGGCGCACGTGCCGACTCCGTACTCCATGTTAGCGTCTGTTCGACCTGGCATCCCCGCACCGACTTGAAAGGTCTGAGTGGGATCCTTCTGCCCCTTCTCGTGCTCTTTACCTTTTCGCTTCCGTGCCGCCCTCTGTGCACCCTGCCACTCGTTGACTGGCGCCTGACTGTCCTGGACGATGAGAGGGAGACGGCCTCCTCGGAAGGCTCGGTAGTCCCCCGCCCTTCCGAGAAGCTTCCGCAGGCCCTCCCCGAAGGCGCAGAAGAGACCTCTCAGAAGGCACGAGGGCTTCCGAGAAGCCGCGCCGCCTTCCGAGAAGGTCCTCTCCTTCTCACGTCCCCCCCCTGGGTCGCCGCCGTCTCTCTCTCGCTCTCTCTCTCTCTCTCTCTTGTTTCTCTCTCTCTCTCTGTCTCTTTTTTTCGCTCTCTCTCTCTCTCTCTCTCTTTATATATATATATAAATATAATATACATTTACATATATATATATATATATATATATATATATCACCTCCCCCTCCGCGTACTCCCCTCCCCTGGCCCCAGCACCCGTCCACCTTTGGGGCGGGTGGCATGCCCGGCCGTGCTGCCAGAGAATTTTTGCGACGAGTTGCCTGCGAGCCCGAGCCAGGTCAGCGCCAAGGTTAAGTCGGGCCTGTCCCTCTACGTGGCACTATTTTTAAATAGATATAACAAATAGTCTGGGGACGCTGTGTTGAGTTGTTGTTGCATCTTTTGTTTTTTTGTTTATTTTTCATTTTTCGTCCAAAATCCCCCTGTAGGGGGACAGGCCAGACCTAACTCGGGGGCGGCAAAGAGGGGGGTGATGACTAGGAGGGGGGGTGGATATCATGGCGGGGCCACGATGTTTCCCCAGATTTCATGGCGCCTCTTCTTACTTTAATACGTGGGCCGCCCCCCCCCCCCCCTGGGCCGCGCACATGCCGCCGGCCATGATTGGCACCCCCTCTCTTGGACGCCCCCTTCTTTGCCGCCCCCGAGCCAAGGGCCCCAGGCTCGCCGCCGAGAGGCCCCCTCCGCACCCCGTCCAGCCTGGCGGGCGGGCGTGCCAGCCCGCCCCGCGTGGCGCCGAGGCCAGCAGCAGCGCCAGTCCCAGGAGTACGCGCAGGGCATGAAGGACCCCCGGGGCTCGAGGGCGGCCGGCTTGTCGGGGCTCAAGAGACGGGGGTCAACGCAAACAGGGGTCAGCCAGGGCACGGGATCCTTCAGGATCCTGCGAAGACCCCCTCTGGCTGACCCGGGTTAGCGAGCCGCGAGGCGGCCGCGCACATTGGCTGACCCGGGTTTGCGAAGACCTGCGTTGCAGTTTTTGTTTGTCCTGCATTGCAGTTTTTTGGTTTCCTGCTGATCCAGGTCTCGCGGGGGCTCGGGGCGATCGAGAGGGGCACGGTTGGACCGAGGTAGCAGGCCGATGTCGGTTCGGGGAGGGTGCCCTCATGCACTTCGTGTTCGTCACGTGTTCGTGTGCATCTTCCTCCGCGGCTGCCTCGTCCCCCTTGTTGTTCCCCTCCTGCACGCCGGCCAAATCGCGTGTCGGTCGCCCCTGATCGCCGCCCGCTGGAGCAGCACTTCTGCCCCGCCGCTGACGCAAGAAGTGTTCTTGTGCATTCTGGAGGAGGGTGCCCTCGAGGATGGTTCTTGTGTCACGGCAGAGGGTCTCGTGTTCTTGAAGGATGTTCTTCTGTCCCTGCTCCAGTTGTGCGGAAAGAAGGGGCACCAAGACCGACAGCATTCTTTGTTCAGCTGTCGGTGTCGCCGCGGGCGTTGCCCACGTGAGACAGGCGGCCGCCTGCCCCACAGCGGCCGCTGCCAGTTTTGGACAAAATGTGTTGTTGGGCATCGGAACCGCATCCCCCGGATAATAAAGGATATCCCTTCCTCCGGAGCCTCGAGACGGGGGTCAATGCAAACGCGGGTCAGCCAGGGCACGGGATCCTGCAGGATCCTGCGAAGACCCCCTCTGGCTGACCCGGGTTAGCGAGCCGCTCGTGGCCGCGAGGCGGCCGCGCATATTGGCTGACCCGGGTTTGCGAAGACTTGCGTTGCAGTTGTTTTCCTGCATTGCTGTTTTTTGGTTTCCTGCTGACCCAGGTCTGGATTGACCCGGGTCAGAAGATCCCCGACTTTCTTTTAGCCTTTTGTGTCATGATTACCCCTTGGCTACTCATTTTTAGTTGCGGGCGGGGGCGGCGAGGCCGAATGTGATGATCACCTGGCCAAGCATCAACCGTAGCTGGCATCTTGGCATCGTGGGGGTAGCATCATGATCAATATCATCATCATCATCATCATCATCATCATCATCATCATCATCATCAGCATCATCGTCAACGTTGTACTCTTTTATCATACTAGTTCACAGGCTTCGCGCTTCTCCCACTCATCCATGGTGCAAAACATGCGGTGCTGTGCATGTGGTGTTGTCTATGTGGTGACTCTGCATGGTGGACTTTACGTGGCGCAGTCTACGTGGCGCGCTCTATGTGGCGACTACGACTACGACCACGACGAGTTACGCCTGCGACTATTCCTACAATCATTATTACTACGACTACTACTACTATTACGACTACTACTACTGAAAGACGACGACTACTACGACTACTACTACTACTACTACTACTACTACTACTACTACTACTACTACTACTACTACTACTACTACTACTACTATCACTACTACTCTACTACTACTGACTACTACTCCTACTACTACTACTACTACTACTACTACTACTACTACTACTACTACTACTACTACTACTACTATCACTACTACTACTACTACTGACTACTACTACTACTACTACTACTACTACTGATACTACTACTACTACTACTACTACTACTACTACTACTACTACTACTACTACTACTACTACTACTACTACTACTACTACTACTACTACTACTACTACTACTACTACTACTACTACTACTACTACTACTACTACGACTACTACTACTACTACTACTACACTACTACTACTACTACTACTACTACTACTACTACTACTACACTACTACGACTACTACTGCTGATAGAATACTAGTACGACTACTACTGATACTACTACTAGTACTACCTATACGACCACCCTTCGGGTGATAAGGAGGTTCGGGGGGGGGAGGAACCAACGTCTGACTCGATCGGTCTCACTATCGATCTCACTATCGATCTCAGTATCGGTCTCGCTCGATCGATCTCCCTCGATCGATCTCACAATCGATCTCACAATCGATCTCACTCGATCTCACTCGATCTATCTCACACTCGATCTCACTCGATCATCATCATCATCATCATCATCATCATCATCATCATCATCATCATCATCATCATCATCATCATCATCATCATCATCGTCCT